TATTACAATGTATGATATATATTCTACATATATCGATTATATTATGTAATATATAAAAAATATAATATATATATTACATAATATATATGAATATTAATATATACAAATATATATATAATTTTACATATATTAATACATATATAATTTTTATTTTTCAACTCGAAATTATTTGCTACTTTATTTTTATCATTTAAATTTAAAGGGCGGGGGGGGGAGTGGTATGAGGGTTTCTGTTTTAATTTTTTTGCTCTTTTATTTATTCTTTCCCTTTTTTCAGTTCCTGTTGTTATTTATTTTGCTTGGAAAATAATGATTCGAATATATACTTGACCTCTTCGGTTACAATCTTTTTATATACACGCTTTACACGCGCGTACTATTCATAAATTCGATTTAGTGTGAGGTTAGAGAATCGATATTAAGCGTGTGTAAACCATTTATAAGAAAAGAAAAAGACTATAGTAAACGTTTCAAACGTTGTAGAAATATATCGAACGATCCGTATGTTTACGAACTAAAAACGCATTTAACTAAATGAAAAATAAATAAGTATTTGGATATAAAAAAACAACAACAAATACATACATAAAAAAAATTTATGTAGAAAGAAATAAAGAAAAGAAAAAAAAGAAAGAAAAAGTTTACGAGTACAAACGTGAAAAAAAAAAATGAAAAACAAAATCGAATTCGACAGTGAAATGCATTTTCTTTTGACCCCTCGTCATTTCCGTCGCATGCAAAAACAGAGTCTTTCTTATACTTTTATAGTATTGCGCACCAACGGAAACGTGAAAAAGCTTCTCGACGGGTTCATTTTCTTTTATTTTTTTTCTCTTCATATTCTTTTTTCAGCGTAAAACGCGAGCACATTTTTTTAGAAGAAAAAAAAAAATGTTCTCTGCAAAACCGAATAAAAATTTCGCGAAGCATGAAAATTCACGAAAGACAGGAATTTACGTACACATAAATGTATATATATATATGCATCATATATATATGCATACTTATATTTATTGAAATTATCAAAGTGCTATCCTCGAAATCACGTGAATGATTACAGCGAGACGAAAATAATGCGAAATTTGCACATGCAAAATTCTGTTTTAAAAAATGAAAAAAAAAAAGGAATCAGAAAAGAGAGAGAGAGAGAGAGAGAGAGAGAGATTAATTAGGTGAACCGGAAAGGCCCCGGATTGTCGTATGAAAGATGACGATGATGTTTCATGAGTTTGCCCTGGGACGACGAGCTCATTGTTTCTCACAGTATACAAGGCTAATGATGCTGAGAAATAATTTGCGGTTAGACTAGCTTTGATCTTTCACCTTCAACAAAAACCTTCTTCCCTTTTTTTTTTTTTATTTCTATCTCGTTTCAAATTAACAACAACGTTTTGTTATTATTCGTTTTCCATTCCTCTTTTTGTCCACTGCTAAAGTTTCTTTCTTTTTCTGTTTCTTTTTATTTTAATACTGTATTTTGTTTAAACTACGTTTCGATGTAAAACGAAAATTAGAAAAGAAAATATCGAAAGTACGGAAAAATAAAATGAATATAAAAAAAGCAACGAGAGAGAGAGAGAGAGAGAAAG